GAAAAGTAACTAAATGAAACGAGACATGCCTTGAACTAGACGGTTGAAATCTCGAATTTGATCCAACTCGTTGGCTACTGGCACCGCGTGTGATCTGTCTAAATATGAAAGGAAATAGAATTAGGAAGTCAACGGAAGACTGCTCTGTAATACTTTGCTTATGCGACTGCCTGATCTCTGGCGGTTACTTTAAAATGTATTTGACCCTTGTACGCATGGGATGGCTCTCGGGCCAATCTCAGACCTAATCCCTTTGCTCACCCAAGAATACATGTTTTTAGCTCCACTCTATGTCTTCTTCTACCCGGCGCGAAGTCTTGGGACGCTACATGCTCTCACGAACACTTGAATGAATGTTTGCATTTCATCATAAATTTCAACATCCTATGCAGTTACGCACCATAAGCACCTAATTCTAGTATCCATGGAAGCATCACAAACAGTAGACCCACTAGCTAGTGGAAGAAGCTCATCCACAGAAGGCATCTCCACGGAGGCTTCATTGATAATTCCAGTCTTTACCAATGCCGCCCTTCGCATACGTTCTTCGGTCCAAAGGAAAGCCAGTCCGGCGTTCAGAGTCTCCGCAGCTATAAAAAATAAATGTAACCACTCCTCTCAGCATACGAACTCTTACGTTCTCGAAGCTCCAACCGATTAATAATGTCGCAGGCAGAAACGTCAACTTCGACATCAGTACTAGTTTGCCGATGTGCATTAGTGTATAGACCGAAAGACCTAGTCCAGGGATAGAGAATAAAAATGTTTTCTCACCCATCCTGAGACATAATGAACGTCAGTGGATCACTAGGATCGTTGCTAGACGAAGAGTTCCGAGTTTTGATATCTTAAATATTGAAGGACAAAGAAGATAATTAGTTGGAGCTTTTATGCATAAACTAACGGTACCACACATTAAAAATACCTCGTATTCGAAAAGCAGTCGCCTCCAGGTAATTCATCCCTTGCAGGTTGTAATCAACGCAAAACTAACAAAAATATAATAGATTATATAACCTACTTGAAGAAGATAGGGAATGTGAGCTTCGAAGGGCTGGACAGGAAAACCTAACACAGCTCCAGAAAGAAACGACTCAGCAAGAATTGAAAC